TATATATATATATATATATATTGTTTAAGAATATTACAATACACATATTCTGACCCAAAACGCCATCGATTTTGGGGCCCAATTCAATAGTACATAGGACAAACATGCGTTGCGGGAAGAGTTTTTTACCACCCCAAAAATCCAATCATTACAATGTAAGGGATTTACTCTTTGACGAGGTCCATCCTTACGCCATATTATTATAAACTGGATAACTATTACCTCCAATTTGTTGAAAATATATACATATTTGATTGAGTATCATCCCATGTTGCCAGAAAATGGAATATTATTTTTGAAATATTACCAGACGCACATCCTTATGCTAAACTGGAGCAACATGCAGAAAAATGAATCGTCGACACAATCACATAAATGGACACAAAAATCAGCAGAAGATTTTATATGTAGCCAATCATATTCCTACAAGAAACCATCCTCCAAATCGAATCCGTGTGTGACGTAAATTAGTGTTTGTGACATAAATTAGTGTGATGAAATACACCTTGTTTTACATACAACAGTCGGTACTACACACAACAATCCATCGATCGATCGATACATTTGATGGCGAATTAGCACAAAAGTCCACATATTGCGAAAATGGACAAGGTAACTCTAGGCAGCATCATCCATCATCATGAAACGAAGACAGTATGTTCCGTACGAGGGGCACCGTCGACGGCTGCGCAATTGCATTCAACGGCACGACAAGCAGCGAGTGGACCAGCTCCGCCACACATGACACGGACACGATTTCTTCAAGGGGCTGGTCGCCTTGTCTAGATATTCATGGAAGTGAATTCATTTTAAAATAATAAAAATTGTCTATTTTTTAATATTTTTTAAAAAGTATTTATTATATGAAATCTAATATATACTAGTAGTTCTTTACTAAGAAGGGTTTAGTAACTGTGATGAAGTCGTAACAAGAGCCTGTGGAAGTACAGTATTATAGCTTCACTATAAATACTATTTTTGTCAACCAAGAGAAGCTACTATACAGACTTACTGCAAGAACGCGGCGTAGTCTGGGAGTTGGGTCGTGAGCTGGTACGCGAGGCTGAGCACGCAGCGGCGGTGGTTCTGCGTCTGCTCGTCCTCCTTGCTCACCAGGTGAAACGCACGCACTTCGGGCTGGTTTTGAATCACAGACGCTGCAACGGCGGTCTTCCCAGTCCCAATTTGACCTAGCATCGCCATATATATATATATGATACGATTTAAGTAGTTGTATCGTACCAGTGATCCAAAACGTCTGACTTGAGCTCGCTTTCCACTCAGTGAGCTGGTCCATGACCCATTCCCGCCCTGCAAAGCCTTGGGTGAACTTTGAAATCTACAAGCACACGGTGTTTATGTATTGGGTGGACGAATAGATCTATTTTTTGCCAACGAAGGTGAATATATATATATATTTATATTATGTACCTCTGCTTGGAACGAAAACGGAGAAAAGATGCTATACCACCACCCACACATGAGAATTTATAACGATAAATCCACGTATATATGTATATATATATATATATATATGGCATTGTTGAGGTGTATATTGAAGGCTAGTCGTGAGTACCTGAACAACCGCGCTTGCTGTCCGTCGTGGTCTAAATTCCCGCGCAAGGCTGTGACCAACTGGATTTTTCATTGGATGTTAGCAGGAATATATAATTATCACCAAACGTATTGGATGCTAATAATATACAAACATAGAAACAATAAACAACACTAATACCACATATATCTTGCCAATCAAAAGAAGGATCACCAAAAGGTATCGTCTATACTAACTATTATTCTATCAATACCTGCGGCAGACGGACCGCGTACTTGACGTCGTTAACGACGTTATTGTTAGTTAGTTGATGCGTGAGGCAGTCGCTCAGGTCGAGCCACTGGATGCGACAGATGCTCAGGGGGATCTCGCAAGGACGCACCATCACTGGCACGAACCCAACACCGGACGCCATACCCGCGGAAATGTCATTCAGACACACGCCTAGTATACATATATATATATATCACATCGATTCGAAACTGCAGAATCGAAAGTCTTGATAGAATGGAGTAAATAGCCGCCTTAGCCAATCAAACCATGTCGTTCTGTCGAATATCTGCCAATCCAAAAAATGTTTGATTCGGGAGCCCACATTGGTACATACATATATAATATATATATACAGAGTACGAATCTTATTATAGTATACTTTGTACAACCTAAACTTAGATCAATAGGATTCGAATGCTATTTGGCACAAGGACTCACAGGTCCAAATTTGGGTGAAATATACAATGTGACATATGCGTACTATATTGTTGTGTTTATACAAAACTGGAGCGACAATGTATCGACACAACAAAATGTGCAGAAGAATTTAGCCAATCCGATTGCAGCAAAGCATCAGTTCAACAATAATTAGTGTGTGACTTAAATTAGTGTGGTGGGCATCACCGCTGGACATTTTTTACATAACACTTACAAAATTCAGTACAAAATACCGATGGATGGATTTGGCAAATAAATATTGTGGTATATTCGGTAGTACAGATTTCCAAACCGCCGAATCAAATAATCACGAATCGACGATAGTATTGGCTAATCCAATTTTGAGTGGATTTGATTGGCTCGTTCAGAGAGGACAAGTATATTCAACTAAGTCAGAACTCCTGCTTGATTCAATATTGATTAGACAAGCCGCGCGAATTTTGGAATTTTATAGCGATTTCACAACAATACAAAAGTCCGAATTTTGACCGAAAGGACAATAACACAACTACTAGGTGATGACGACGACGAGGTATTTTCTTGCCATGAGGTCGTCCCACACTTTGGGGGGTGAGGAACAAGATCATCTTGCCGGGAGCGGCCCATGAGATGGCGTCTCGGCGGGCGTGGGGGTCTGTCGGAGATGGCGCCACGTGGGGATGGATGTTAAACCCTAGTCGGATATATTGATATATATAGTGGATTGCATGTTATATACATATATATTATTACCCTGGGCGGTCAAATCAGCGTGCAATTTCAACGCAAGGGGGGCGCTCGTGTCGTCAAACACAAACACGTATCTACACCACCAACAAAATATAAATCTGTGAGAATGCAACAATATAGAGTGTTGCAGGTAGGAGGTCTACCTGGTAGCTTGGGGCTGAGGAGTAGCGTCCAGGATAGCGCTCGTAGGCGGCTGATGGAGCGAAGGACAAGGATGCTTGGGAGACAGCACCTTTCTATATGTCGGGGTCCTGGCGTCGTCGATGGTGTCCGTAGGCCCGCCGTGAAACAAGTGCAGGTTGTCTAGCCCTCCAATCGCCGTCACCATTGCGCTGCGCATGCTTTCGCACTAATGTATATTAACAAATTGGTCAAACTACGACTGTACGTAAGTACTCACAGCTTCGAGCAACCCCGTGAGTTTGAGCACTTTGGTTTGGAATGGAATCGAGGTCATGGACGTCGCGACCAGGTCGTCCCATTCCGAGGCGGCCATCGGCGACTCGCGCGGCAAGCTCGACTGCAAGTCAAAGTACGGCAACATGGAGATCGACTGCGGCGGCTCGCTGTCGCACACGAGCACGGGAAAAATGTTGAGTTTGAGCGACGACGCTGCCGCATAAAGTTAGACACGGGGAATAAATACCACGTGGTAGGTCAAGCAATATACCGCGGGCGATTTCATTGAGGCAGTACCCGTCCGGGCGGCGGAGGGCGTGCGGGGTCATGAGCAGCAGCACCCGGCCATTCTCCTGGGCTTCTTTAACCCACGTGAGCGCATCGGCAATACCCGATTCCCAATCACATCCTAAAGTGGCTTAATGCATTGGCGGCATGCAAACATGACAACGTGATGACGTACCAGGGGTCAGCTTTTCAACATCGACCCACACCACATGTCCTCGGGACCGCACTATCGACGGGATTACAAAGGAACTTTCGGACACGAATAGTTGAGGTGTTACAGTGATCTTTGAGGGCCAACGCCACTTTCTGGTAGCGGTCGTGTCCATCTACGTAGGATCTAGTCACGAGGAGCGAAGATGCGCGCTGGTTTCCCATGGAGCTCGATATGCTGCGTACACGAGAGGAAGATGTGCAGCACTGGGCGGTCGTAAATGAGCAACGTGGCATTGTGCAGGCGTGGAGTCGTCGCCGACTCTTGTCCGACGGGCGCCACATACTCGCAGCTTCCACAAACCACGAGTTGCCGCTGCTCGAGCACAAGCACGTGGGCACTGTGGCACTTGACGCACGCACGCTGCTGCTGTGCCTGGGGCTGCATTTCCTTGATGCGATGGTAGCTGTCCGATCCAAACACCATGTGACAGTTACAACGACATCTACTAGCTGTAACCGATTATCTATCTACCCGATACGGAGTTTAACTACTAACTTACTGTTAAAAAATTAGAAACAATCCAGTTTGAGAGCTAGCTAGTAGTTTTTGCGAAATAAGCTGATTAACTTTACCATCTTTAAAGAAAATACAAAAATGCCCTTTCTATATCCGGATATCCAATCAAATCCCAGCATTTGGGAAATCACTATGCGAGTTGTCACTTTATATTGGTCACAATTCTCAAATTAATTCGTTCTAGCCAATCAAACAAGTCGAAGTAGTCGAAGTGGTCAATATGTATAGCAACTGGAAAACGGGGCTTCTGGTAGTAGAAGCCACGCCTACACTAAATTGTACCACTGGTACTGTACTACGTAGTTGTACTGTACTACCGTATACCTTATGGATCTGTATCCTCGAAAATGTCTGTAAAATCTGATCGAAATGCATACAACTCAATAAGGTGGTCGAATCTCATTCCAATGGATTGGCCACTTCGACTACTTTGACTTTTTGGATTGGCTAGAACGATATAATTTCAGAATTGTTCGCCAGTGACGAAAGTGGTTTCTAAAATGATGGGATTTGATTGGATATCCGGATATAGAAAGGGCATTTTTGTATTTTTTTCAGGATGTATTTTATCAAGAGAATGGGCTGAATTTTAATTGTGATACTGACTTCTTATCCGGATATCCGACCGCATTTCCAGTTCCATATTCGTGGAGGTCGTGAAGCATGAGCCTCAGCCAGACACTTGCGCGCCGCGTGAACGTGAGCACCCGCTTCGCGTTGGTGCAGATGAAGGGACAGCAGCGCCGCAACGGAGGTTCATTGAACAAGAACAAGAACATTGAGGTGTGGAATGGGGGCCGTGAAAACTGCGACCGCGAATTCGCGTTCAACGCGTCCAACATGGGCAAGTTCTTGTTGGGCACGGTGCTGCCGGCGGCGATTGTGTACCACTTTGTGATGGAGGAGCAGATCAAGCACGATCAAATTGAAGGCAAACCGTTCAACCCCCGCCGTTATTTGTAAGCACCGTCGATCCATGGCTCGGTTGGACAGTGCATCCTCTATCCATGCGATCCTCCCCCCATGCGTCACGTCGACAGCTTAAGCACTTAACCCCACCAGATGTATATCTTCTTCCATAAACGTGTTTGTGTTTCCATTAATCTTACTATACCTTCAACTGTTGCTTTGGTGGGGTGGGGACGGTGGTAGCCGGCGACAGCAGTGTTCTCGGCGGCATACCCCGCGGCTTCTGGTGTGTCTTGGAGCTCTCGAGGAACAGCTCGCCAGGGATGGACGCGAGCACATCGGGTCCGCGCACCTCGAGGGTCCGGCGGAAGTCCCAGTACGCCGTCTTGTCGGGCAGCGCGATCGACGACGACAGAGCTTGGATCCAGTCAGACGCGGACACATATTGGTTCTTTTGAAACAGCACTTGGCTGTACTTTGTCGCCATGTCGTATCTACACCAATAAACAATCCAACATTTGTTAACACGCTATAAATGAATCATTTAATTCACACGTACTGCCGCGCTTCCATGAAATGGCCAATCAGCGGCCGGTAGCAATTCACGGTCTTGTCCATAAACAGCTCGGTTGCTTCCAGTAGCGCGATGGCTTCGTCCACGCGCTTCAACGCGATCAACATCTGCACCTTTAGCTTGTACACGAGCCCACGGTATCCGTCCTTCACATGTTGTTCTGACAGCATCTACTCACATATGAGTAAGTTTATACAATATCATTCGTCATGATAGGAAAAACAAAACCTTCGAAATTTCATATAAAACTAAGAGGTATCTTTGTAACTGCAAGATGCAACAATCAATCTTTTCAGCCAATCATATTGCAAGCTTCATTCTTTGTAGCCAATCATACTCGTTTGCTCGATTAGTTAACGAGTTTTCATCAATTTGACTGAAAATTCACAATACATACCCCTTCGCAAAATTCGAGGCCTTCCTCGTATGTGCCCATATGCAAGTGCGCCGTAACGATAGCCTGCTTGGCGAACGGGTTGAGCTCGACATTGTTGGCCAGACATTCCTTGTACAGCGCCATCGTCACCTCCGGCTTGCCTTCCTTGACATACCCCATCATGGCGGCCGCAATGGTCACAAGGAACACGCTTTCGTGTTCGCCGCGCATCATTTCAAACAGCGTCACTACAGTGTCCCATCGCTTCCACTTGGCACACGACTGTATCGCACACATGTACGCGTTTGCACTCAACGAGGTGCCTACGTACGCTCCATCGTCACACGGTCAAAAAGTCAGTACGAACGGGCCATACTAAGCAACGATACAATGTGGTAATATGGACAATACAATACACCAAAACAATGTGTCAAACATCGCAATAATTTGCACACTGGATCGATATATTAAAAAAAGAGAGAAAAAAAAGAAGATATGTACTTCCTCTGTTCCAGGTTACTGCCGACATTTACTTTGAATTGACACAGACAATCGAGCCCCTCACTCAATTTGGGCGAATGATACTTTGAAAGGGAATTGCATGAATTTTCGCAAAAGATTGGTTTATAATCAGCGCTTAAAGCAATTGTAAGCCAATGAAATGTCATAAATGTTCGATATTGATAGAAATTGAAGAATTACAGCCAATGAAATGCAAATGTCGCCAGTAACTTGGAACATGCGAATTTTGAAATGTCGGCAGTAACCTGGAACAGAGGAAGTACAAGATATTGTCGATTCGGTACAAATTTCCAGACCCCGTCGAATCGAATAATCTAGCCGCCGAATGAATCGAATCACGAATCGACGCTATTGGCTAATCCAATTTAAGTTGGATTTGATTGGCTCAAGGACAAGTATTTTCAACCAATCAGAACTCTCCCAGCGTGATTCAACCTTGATTAGACAAACCACACTAATTTTGGAAGTTTATAGCAAATTCACAATACAAGTGCACGCTTACCTGCTTCCTCCATCAACACGAGAACTTCCCGGACGTCGGCGATGGCTCCAGCTTTGGACATGCATATCATGAACGAGTTGAACGTGATCTGACTCATGGGAATCCCCCGTGTCTTCATTTCTTGCAAGATCCACGTGGCAGTGTCGTAGTCGCCGTTGCGAGCACAAGAGTTGAGCACGGTATTGCACGCAATGCTCTGCAAATCGCTCGTGAGGTCAGGCCAGTCGTGCATGAGTTCCCGGAATAGCTCGAGCACCTGGCATTTCATCCTGAGGGCCATGATCGGGATATCTATGAGACGGCGTACCATCTCGTGTTGGTTGGCCTTGGACGCCGACGACAGCGCCCGGGAGTATGTGACGAAGGACGGGTTGAACCCGTCGCGACGCATCACGTCAAACACTTGCAGAGCCAACTCGAACCGTTCGTGCGCATAACACGATGAAATGACCTTGGAGTATGCGGCAATGCGCGGCTTGCAGTTGTTCTGGCGGGAGAAATGCAGAGCCTCCATGGCTTCACGGTAGTACTGACGCTCTGCCAACATGATGATCAACGACGTCATGTCCTCGAAGTTCAACTGGCCGTTGCCATCTGCCATGCTCTGCTCGAGCAGCGTGAACATCCACTCCGACACTTTTTTGCCCTGGTTGTGTTTGCCCGGGACGACGTACACGGCCGTTTGAAACGGGAACTTGGCCGCTCCTTCGGATGACGTGGCATCATCGTAGATAAAGCTACCGGGCATCACGCTGCCACTGTCGGCCGCAGCGGGGGATGCGGTCGATTGTTGAGATTGGGTTGGCAACGTCGACTTAGCCCGGGTCGTCATGTATGGTGCCCCCAGCACGGCATCATCTGCAGTGGCCAGCATCAATTGAGACGATGCGCGCAGGGATGCGTTGCGTAGAATCGCCACGGAGTGCTTCGACACCAGTCGCAACATGGTGATTCGGCGGCGGTGGTGGAAATTGCCGGTAGTCGTTGGTGAATGCGAGGCAATCGATAGTATCCGGATGTCATCGCAAGATTTCGAATCAGGGAGGCAAACCTTTAGCATACAAAATTCCATATATCGACCACACATTTTTTGCGGGTATGGCCAATGATTAATTATCCGGATGTCAACTTTGATTGGAGAGGTCATTTTATACTCGAAGGACTTCGTAGGCATGTTGAAGTGGGCGGCCTCTTGATGCAAATACTATTGGGAGTTACATCATACATTCATACTACGTAGTACAATGTATTAATAACGTTAACAGCAATGCTTCATGCTTGCATATGCTCATCAACCAAGTTACTCGCAATGCTCCTAACTAGGCTCTCATAACGATATGATTGGATACAACAACGAGCAATAATTAATCAAAATACATCGCACTGGTGTACTTCGAAGTAGTACAGTACATGTATACTATAATAGGTAATATAATACTACATAATTATACATTCGTACTGGTCACGAGTATTAGTAACGTTAACGAGTATTAATACTATTAATATTAATAGTAAACGTTTTTTTGCTTACTGTTAACGTTAAACGTTTTCACTGCACTTACAGTTAACAGTTAACCCCGAAACCCCGAATTATTCGGTACTATTAATACTGTAGTACTAGTAGTATGTGCAGTATGTACTACTATGTACTACTAGTACGATGGTGGAAGTTGTGATTGGTCGGTCTAACTTACACCGTTCTCTGTGTTACCCTATTATTGCTTTGTGAAGGCACTTTATCGCATTTTATACTCGAGTAGTCGTCCCATTTGAATGCAAAATTTGGCAGAGTATGTGCTGAACGGGAGCGGAACGGGAGTGGAACGGGAGCTGGGAGGACCGAATTGACAAAACCCTTTCCTGAGTATTATCGGTTAACGGACGTCGGGCTTTGTGACGCCAATCATGTAAAATAAAAACACCAGCAGCACCATGAGGAACAGAATGAGGCACACGAGCCAGTTGTTGCACTGCATCGAGTCCTGGTTGCCCGTCATCTCCTCGCGGTACTTCTGGGCCCAGTTGGGCACGATCTTCAGGTCCGGGCGCAGTTCGTACAGCGCTTCCTTCTCCACGGGACTGAGGCGGCGGATGACGCCAGGTTTCTGCTGGCGCTTCGGCCGCTCCTGCTGTTGTGATGTGATGGTGATCTTGACCTGGTCTTGGTGAATGAGGGAGTGCCCTTCCAAGGCATTCTCGACGTCGATGTCGTCGTCGGCGGTCTCGTGCGGCAGCCGCATCCACACAATGGACTTCTTTGCACTCTGAAGGGTTGGCACCATGCCCGCCGATATGGGCTTTTCATACGCGGAAATCTTTCGTAGAGCAGGTCGCGGGCCAGTCCGACGATACAAGTCTTCATTGTCGCTGCTGCCGCCACCCACGGGACTCAACTGCATCCCGTCACCTTCCAGGACGTCGCGCTCGCCGACAATGCCGCCCCCTTCCGACGATGATGCGTTCGGATCAAGGAGCGAATACCGTGTTGTGGACGCGGAACTCGAGATGCGCTTCACCGCACTCAGGAGGGTGGAAGATACGGCTGTGGTCAGCATGGATGTGTATGATGCTTTCGGAGGCGGTAACGGTGGTGGCGCGTTCTTTTCAATATCCCGCAGCTCCTGCTCGAGATTTCGCGCGCGGCGGACGGCGATGTCGATGGAATGCCGCGAGACCTCGGCGGAAAACAGCGTCGGATCGACGTAGTCTTTTTCGTCGGATTGATGTGCGGCATCGTCATCGTGTTGGGGCTCGAGCTGGAACTTCTTGTCCGTGGGAATCGGGGCGACTTGGTTTTCTGGTCCTTCGGATTCGGACGTGCGTGCGCCAGGAGGAATGTGCATCATGGATATCTCCACATGATCATTGTTTTCCTGCAAGGCGCTCATGCTTGATTCACTCGGCTGCTGGTCAGTCCCCATGTACTCGTTGACGCAGCACCGACCCTCAACTTCTGCGCTGCGGAAGCTGACAGTCTGAGATTCGACAAATCCCAAAGGCACGTGGCCAAGGCTCATTTTTATTCACGTTTCGAACATGAGGGGATTTCTAAATTATTAAATTACTTGACAAACGTATGAAGTTTTGAGGATGGGGTTTTAAATTCAATTGCATTTTAATACGTCAGGTGCCCTTATATGATTTCCACCAATCAAAGCACGAGAAGCTTAGAGTTGATGTCACCAGCATACCACCTATTTCGGTTAACAGTGTAAGTGCGACACATTTTGTTTTTACTTCGAAGTACTAGTATATTTTACCTGAGAACTAGTATTTTACAGTTAATATAACCCTTTAGCATTTCGCAGTACTTATTTTACCGGTAGTATACACTGCGTAAAATACTTCGAAGTAATATTATATATTCCTTGCTCATGGTTTTAACAAAATAGATTGTCCAAAAATAGATTAAAGTTATCTAGATTATTAGATTTATTTCTGCGGTCCATAATTTTCAAGATATCATATCTCAAGAAAGTAATATATTTTATAAATTATACTATTGCGTGTTAGCAACAGCGTGCAAAGGTACGGGCGTTGAGTGATGGATGATGATCTTGCAAGTGCGAAAGTGTGGCTTGGCTCAACTCACCACATTCACTGTGGCCCTTGACGACAAACAAAAGGTCGACTTTTTTGCGCAGTTAAACCATCATGGAACGATCGATGTAAATAGGAGCCAAGCAAATCCGCCTAGGATGGCAATGGCGCCGGCTAATTCAAGGCAGGCTCGATTGAGCTCACACACATTGTACGCATGTTGTATTTAATGGGTCGTCGCACATAAGTAACGACGTCTATCTACCTAACTTTACAGATGCAACCTAATGCTCGCTCGGAACGGTTGCGGCGAGCGACGTTGCGACAGTGTCGAGCCGTCCCAACTGCGTCAACGGCCACAGCTACATATACCGTCATGAGTATGGCATGAAGGGAAGAAGTAGTAGGGATGACTTACTCGGAAGAGCACCCGCCCTTGGATCATCGCGTACGGCACCGGTCCGTAATACCGCGAGTCGTGCGAGTCGTGCTTGTTGTCGCCTTCAAGCCACACGTGGCCTTTCGGGACCTTCTTCAGCTCAATCTTGCTCGGGTTGTAGCGATGCTTGAGACCCACGGTCTCTCCTTCGGACGCTATGATACGCTTGCACACGGTTTGTCGGAAATTTGTTGGCGACATGGCTATGACCACCTCGCCGTTCTCAAGCTTCCGAAAGCGCGGCGACAGTTTGTCGAGAAGTACGACGTCTCCGTGCTCGTTCAACGTCGGCAGCATGCTCGGTCCGACACACAGAACAACATCTCCCACCTGCAACACGCAGAAGACTAAGCTTCCGAAGCGAGCAAGGGCACCCGCTACTTTTACACCCTCGAGCACCTTGTTCATCAATTCAGACTCACCACGGAACAAAGTCCGGATAATAGTTGTCCGGATATCAACCATCAAGGTGGCGGCGACCTTTCAAAAGGCGTCGTTTTCGAGCCAAACATCTCGCAAAGAAACGACCATGGGTGACTTGAACGAGCTGATCAAGAGAACGCAAGAGGTCCTTCAACCACTCATTGCCAAGCCAAAGCTGGCAGAGAAGCTTCTTCAGAAACCTCCGTTCCGCTTCCTCCATGACATCTTCGCGGCGGTGACGGCGTCGACTGGGTTCGCCAAGGGTCTGTACACCGACTTCGAGCTTGACTCGGCCAACGTCAAGGAGAAACACCAGAAGCTGCAGTTCCTCGACAAAATGATCTATTTCACGGGGCAATGCCACGGCAAAGAGATTGACGTCCGGTCGGCCAAGATCGTCGCGGGCTTGGAGCCTGAGAACACCAACATCTTCCTCACGGAGCTCGCGCTCGCCGCGTCGAATTCGTCCTTGGACTGGAACGGCGCCGTCCAAAAGACTCAAGTGGCGTACCCGCCGCTGGCCGAGACGTTAGCCGGATCTGGTGGCGGGGGTGGGGCTGCTGCTGCAGACGCAAAGCAATTGCCCAGTGAGGACAAACCATCGACTGCCAAGGAAACCACTGCCGCCGTGGCACCGCCTGCCCGGGACGAAGCTAAAGAAGCCGAGGAGAAAGCCAAGGCGGACGAGCGAGCTGCGAGAGTGCGTTTCATTAGTTTTCAATGTCCTACGTGAATCTCTAACGGAGGGATGCAGGATAAGGCGAGACGAGCAAAGGAAGAGCGAGAGAAGGAGGCAGCAGCCACCGCACAAGCTTCAGCATCCAGCGAACCTAAGCCGCCTTCCTCCGAGAGCTCCAGTCGCCCAAGCAGTAACAGCAAGGCCACGAGAAATGAGAATAACGATGCCGGTGGTGAATATGCTGCTCAGGTACGTGGCTCTCCTATGTTGTCAGTCAATTCCTTATGATTCGTCCAGCTTAAACACATCCCTTGCTACTGTATGTGATAGGATTAATATCATGTTTTTGCACCTTGTAGGTGCGCGAATGCAATGGCGACGTCGAACGCACCAAGGAAATGGTTGAAACGATCATTTCCAAGCCGAAAATGTCGGCCAAGTTGCTCAGCAAGCCGCCGTTCCGGTTTCTGCACGACATCGTGTCCGAAGTGACGCGGTCAACAGGGTTTGCTGACGGATTGTACGCCGGGGACGAGCTCGACTCGAACGCGATCAAGGAGAAGCAGCCCAAAATCGACTACTTGCAAAAGATCTTGCACTGCGTGGGGTGTCAATTAAACGTCGAAGTGGACGCCAAGCCCGCCAAGATCGTTGCAGGGCTCGAGCCAGACGACACCAACAAGTTTCTCCAGCTGCTTGTGATTGCTGCGAAAGCGTACGTGAGTTGCTACATCCATCCATTGGACTATCCACACAAGGTGATGGCTTACGAGTGTGTATTGTAGTGGCAACTCGGCGGCGGCGGTGCAGCGTGTTCTGGCAGGCGACACGGCGCCCAGAGCGCCGTCGGCAGAGTCCAAGGCTAAACGACCGTCGGTTGTAGCAAAAAACCCCGCGCCTCAAGATGAGCCCCCTGCGAAGTCGTCCGAAACCAAGCAAGCAGCCAAAGTCGACTCGACGGGACCGGTCAAGGCTATGGCGGTGACCGCACAAGACGACGACGGCGACTTGGCGAGCGATGCTAAGTCGGCCGGCAACGAGGACGACTCGTCCGCCAAGCCGGGCACTGCGAACCGCACGGCGCGGCCGACAACTGCCCGACGGCGTCCACCCAAGCTCAAGGAGAACGTCAAGGAGGTGAGTGAGTGTGATCACTTGGCAAGTGCCACATGGAAACAATATGTGATGACTTGGCTGTAGGTGGGCCGGTTGGTACGCGACGATAAAGTGACGCCCACGGTGGGCATCATGAAGGACGGAGACAATGCCGACAGCGACGATGACACGCTGGACGCAGCGGAGAAAGGGACCAACCCCCACCGCGACAACATGCTCCAACACGACGACACGACACACGGCAAGTTGATTCGCGACATTCTCAAGGATCAGAGCGTTGCCGCCGACGACGACGAAGAAGCAAACCGCAAGTCGAAAGAAGACGAAGATGCCAAGGGTAACGATAGCGGCATTCGGCTGGGGAAGCGGCGCAAGTCCTTCAAGGAAAAGACCAAAGGCGGCACGTCCACGGCCGCCGAGATCAACGACCTCCGCGTGTCCATCCAAAAGATCTGCCAGGCCACCAACCCCGTGGGCAAGTGCATCGAGTACGTGTACGAAGACATGGAAGCGATGGCGAGGGAACTGGATGTGTGGAAGAAAGAGTATGAAAAAAAGTGCGACGTGCTCGAGGACGAGAAAAAGAAGTCGGAGGATGCGCTGCAGCCGCTGTCTGCGCAGTTGGTCGAAGTGGACGAGCAGATCAAAGAACAAGTACACAAGATCAACACGCTCAAGGCCACGATTGCCAAGAACGAAGACAAGATGCTCAAGCTGTTGCGGATGGTCGTGACCGCGTGATGAGCCTATATACTGTATAGTATGTGCATGTATAAAACAACATGGAGTCGTAAGGTGTGCAAGTCCCATGCATGTACACTATATTGGAATTATTGTGTTGTTAAGTCGAATGAGGGGCTAGAAACAGCGCTTTTTCCAGTGGCGAGTACACGTCGGCGCCACCCTTTATGCACGAGATCAAGTAACTCACGTCCTTGGCCTCAAACGTGTCGTCTTGACGGAACCGGTCCAATTCGTCGCCAAACACTGTCGCAAACTCCTCTAAATACAAGTCGTGGAACGCATCGTCGTTGCTGCTTGCGACGTTCGGGTCGGCGTGCGCCAGCAGCGCGCGGCTGGCCTTGCTCGCGTCGTGAAACGCCTGGGACTTTTGGGCAACAGCGTCCACGCTCTCGTCTGCGGCAATCAGTTCTCGCACGGCTGAGGCATACGCGTCGCCGTGAATGTCCTCTGCATTGTCGTGCATGCTGTGGTTGAATTTGTGTGACAGACGGATCGCTTTGTCGAGGAGGTCCGCGCACCGCAGGGTCTTCTCCACAGCCTCTTCCAGGATAACCGTCGCATCTTCAGGATCGGTGCCGCGAGCTAGTTGGTCGACGTTCTCAAGGTTGGCCAGCGCCGAGCCTTCGTTCAAAGGCGTCTCGCCCAGGCGTCGGATGAGTTCGTCGTACCCAGCCATTTGAATTCGAGTCTTATGGCATTTTCAATATTATGTATCCGGAATGTCATCCGGATACGAAACGTCGCATTGATTAAAAATATCTCATGTTACCAGTCGAAGTCTAAGCGTCCTCTGCACCCCTTTCACTCTTGAGACTATGCGACTGCTTTGGGCAGCATCGGTGATGGCAACAGCGACATGGTGTAGTCGTCCAAGCATACATGCGTGTCAATGTTTCGCGGCACTGGGCTTGCGCTGCTTTCCGACGCGGTCGAGGTAGTTGACGAAGCTGAGTTCATCGCTGTCGCCAAACAGCGTCTTCATCTTGGTTTCGAGCTGCGACTGGCCATACCTGGCAAACAGGATGGCCATCGTGTCGTCGGCGGTGATAGTGCCGCACATTTTCTTGTCGTACGTCATGAACTGCACGACGTTGAACAAGTTTACGGGTTCCAGCTCAGTTTTGTCGAGGAGGTTGCGGTTGAACATGCCCCGGAGCTCGTCCCAGTCGACGGCGTTGTCCAGGTTCTCGTCGGCCTCCCAGATCATGTCGCTGATCTCTTTCTTCGAGCACACTTTGCCGAGTGCTTTGATCGCATCGAACAAGTCTTCGCTCTTGATATTCTTGGGAACAGACGTCGTCGCAGCTTGGTTCGAGTTGAGCGTCTGGAGCTCGGCGTGGCTCGCGTCGATGCTGGCCTCGATCTCTTGTAGCTCGAGCACGATCTCGGCCTGCGTCATCTTCTTGCCCGTCGCGTCAAAAATAGGCGCGCTGTTGCTACTGAAGTTGGAGTTGCTGAACTCGAGCTGGCCCTTACGCTCCTTTAGCGTCGTGACGAGGTGGCTGAGCTTCTTCTTTTGGCGGTACCCCGCCAAGTGCTCAAACACCCTCCTCAACTCGCGCTCCTCTTGCGCAATCATCCCTTTCGAGTCGCTGTCGTCGGCCATGGTGCACTTTCAACTGGTGAAAACGTGGTTGGACCTACAATGCCGTAGAGATAGATGGTGGAAGCGACGCGACTAAAAATAAGACCCATCCCGACTATTGATGAAAGCGAAACCGTTGACATTTGATGGCACGGGGGTTGGTTGCTCAACCGAGTGGCATGCAGAAGGAGAGCAGCCAGTCGAACATATGGAAGCATGTGAGGGCATCCCAAAACCAGCATCTAGTCCAGGTGAGCGACGTCGTCGTCGCAGAGTACATCAATAATACCGTCATGCGCTTTGTGATGGGTTAACGTTTATGGGAGACAAACGAGGGTGGTGCATTATGCAAGGACGTATGTATGATTGTAGCTGCTCGAGGCAAGTTTGCAAAAGGAAGACCGGCGACTGGCGCGGTTGGTGGCGGCCACGGGCAACGCAAAAGCAAAGCGGCGCCTGGAAATGCACTTCAACGTCGAGCGGGATCGGGAGCGGAAGCTGTTTGAGCTCGTCAAGCAAGACCACGATGTGACACTGCGGTCGAAAATGAAAGCTGCTAGGGTCCAGAAAACACTCTCGACCATCTCCACCACCAATAAACAACAACAACCAACAGACGCGTCCCGACGACCACCCCCAAAGCCACCGAAACTGCGCCACGCATCGTCCTCTTCGGATGCGTCGACCAAGAAGCATCCGTGTCACCAGTCTTCACAAGTCGTCCAAATACGTAAGGCATTCTCCTCAACCGTATGCATGCCATTGTTTTGCAATATGTAATAACACTAGTTAGGTGCAAACGCGATTCCGTCTCGATTGAGGCCATTGACGACTAGCTCGGCAAACAATGTGGCTCGAGAGAGGTTGACCCCAGTGCAAGTCGACGTACGAGAGCTAAGTCTACAACTAGTCGTCTGATATATGAGGAGCTTGGAATTCGTATATGTGGGTGGTGTTTAGCAATTACTATGTAGTACTCGAAGTATTATGTATTGGCTAGGCTTTTCGCATGTATGTCACGCAAAAGCTGGAAAATGCACCAACGACCAAGCTACGGGATAGGAGAAGCAGCGCGTGGCTCACTGCCGACAATGTGCATGAAGTATGTGACGACGTACACATCGTTCGTCGACTTGTCACATGTGTGAATCGTGACTTCTACTACTAGCACACGACACGCATGTCGTCGACGTTGTTGGTGCAAAAGTGCCACCTCCTCAAACAACTGCATGACATCGTCACCAAACAGCAGAGGATACTGCTCCAAGACGATCAATGCACTGTGCGGTCGGCCGTGTCGAGCTACAAGTCGACGACTCCCACCACCAACACGATGCATGACTACCTCTACGTTCCATTTGCCTCGATTCCGTAGACTCGAATGAAATGCAAGTCGACGCCGTGTTCATTCGTCGTCTCGATGCAACATGTGCTTTCGTGAAGATAATAATGGATGCATGCCCAATGCAACAAAGAACCAGCTCATGTCGATTTGGTGAATGGTAGGATGCATGCACCATGTGTGTATTAACAATCGAAAATACTCGCCTGTCGAGATGCTATTCCTCTTGCTTTTTCGGCGGGGGTCCGCACGGTTGGATCATTTTCTACCGATACAAGCATATGCATGGCGGTTAGTCGATGGTGATGTCGCGTAATGGAGGGGGCGGCGGAAACTTACTTCGAGCATGTTGAACCGGACGCGACCAATCGATTCGTTCTCGGCGACCGCAAAGTACGACAACATGTCGTTGTGCCCGATGTGGGAAGACAATGTATCGCGATGCTGGTTCACCGCCCATTCACTAGCACAGCCAGCGGCAAAGTCAAGCACTGCTGCCAAAATCATTATCAGGGAAGCTTATTGTCGTACAATTTGCTCGTGTCTGCGTGACCCGTTCCAACGTACTTGGCCTGCAAGTGCTCCCATTGTCTGTTGATGTTGTATCTGTCGGCAGCCTAGGAGAAGGAAAGCCATGAGAACGTCCTTTGGGGCCGCCGCAGTGGCCGTGCCACCATCGTACCATGTTGCGAGGTTTTTCTTGATTTCAAGAACCCTAGGTTGCGGCGTCAAAGTAAACGTGATTGGCTAATTTAAGGCCTTATTTTGGCAAATCATATTCGTGTATTAGGACTCTGATCGACGGTAGCAACAGTAAAGAAGCCATATGAGCAACCTTTCCGCTGCTACATGCGAGGAGAGGGAGATCAAGGATATGTCCATGTTGCCTACAATCTCACGCATGGATACATGTCCAAATCGCATACGTGGTCGTTCCAGTAAGCGTCGGAGAAAGGAGTTCGGGATTACGCGGTGGAAGAGAGCCTGGACATCATTACTTTGTGGCATGAGGGAATAAAACAGCGTGGATGCGCCGAGAATGCAAGGAAGAGTCTAAATGCTTGCTTTTCGTTATTTATACAAGGTATCTAACCACGGAACTTGCCCCACACATGGAGCAACACGACAAACCCAACAAACAGCAATGCTCCGACGAGCACGGTGGTGGGTCCGACTTTGAGGCCAGGGGCGTCGTCAGTGTAAAAGCGGAGGACGCCAGCAGAGCTTCCTCCCATGCCACGACCGCTGTTCACGCTCTTGGTGGCCGGTTTCCGGCTATACAACACGACCACGTGAGGACGACATTCATCGAAAACTGTCTTTGCAGTGATCGTACTTTCGGAGGCCAGCAGCGCTTCCAGACGGCGGGGCAGAAGTTCCTTGGCTTGGTGCAGCGGCTGCCTATATCGTCACGAACAAAACGTCATCTCACATGCAGGGATTGAGGGGTTCCGCCGGCGCTGACGGACGTACCATGGTCAAATGTGCTCGAAACGTAGAATGAAAGAAGCCGATGCAAAGTCTGCGGTTGGGAGACACGTCACCAACATGCGATTTTAAAATTAGCTTGAAATTTGTATGCCTTTCCGAAATTTCTATTTGGAAAAGTGGGTTTTGTCACGTGCTAGTAGGTGCTAGTAAGCCAGGGCTTACTAAACCATATACTCCGGATACGTATCCGGTATTTTTTGTAATTCTTAATTTGGAGGGAACCCAATCAAGTGGAATCATTGGCAGGACGCAGCAAGGCGGCGTTGAACCGTGAGGAGCGAAGAGGTGTCAACATGACGGCGAGCGAACCCATCAGCAGTCGCACCACATCCTCCGTACGAAGACGATCGTTGATTGACAAGGTCATGAACTCGGCCGCGTCGCTTCGAATCAAGACAACGACAGCCTCCGGCAAGTCGGCCACGTCTACCGCATCTACTGTTGGCCCACGAAAACGGAACCTGGGCACACCCAATCCGTCCCCCGCGAAAAAACGAGCCAAGGCTGAAAGCCCGATGGTTCCGTCCACAGCCAAGCCCTTGAGCGACGAAAGGTCCAAGGCCATCGACCTGACGTTTGTGCAGCACGACGTCACGTCCGTGTACCAAATCATCCACAAGCAAACGGGCGCGTTGGGTGGCAACGGCGCCGGTGGAGCGATCTACGGCGAAATCACCAAGAATTCCATGGCCAAGATCCTCGACTACATGGTGGACAACTGCGAATTGACCGACCAGTCTGTATTTTTGGACATTGGCAGCGGGTTGGGCAAACCCAACTTCCACGCGGCGGTGGCCCCAGGGGTCGCCATCTCGTACGGCATTGAGCTAGAGGACCAGCGGTGGGAACTCAGTCTGCACAACCTCCGCAGCGTGCTGACGTCGGCCGCCGTGGCCAAGAAGGTGCGCCCGATCATCTTCACGCGCGGCGACATCACGGACGCGTCCTCCCTGGACCCGTTCTCGCATGTGTACAGCTTCGACGTGGGGTTTCCTCCCGCGGTGATGGCGCATATCGCCGAATGCTTCAACGACAGCCATGAGTCGCGGTACTTTGTGAGCTTCCACGGGCCTAAAAAAGTGCTGGGCCAGTACGGCTTTGACGTTGAAGAACTCGGGCGCCTGCCCACGTCCATGGCAGGATCCAGTGAAGGGCATGCCGTGTACTTCTACCGAAAGGTTCTTCAAACGACGACCACCCCGCCGCCGCCTCCGTCTTCATCTTCGACGCCAGCGGACGTGATCGAGATCGATCCGTTGTTCCGCGCGGGGTTTCAAGTGGTCCAACAAGGTCATGACAAAGTGACCGCCTGGATCGACAACCATCTCTTGCTACGCCGAAACCAAGGACGCACGCGGCGTCAGCTACTGCTGGCCAAGCGCAACGAGAAAGTACCCGTCGCTGCAACTACTACCACCCTCGATCAGTACTATAGAAGGGTGCGCAGTGCGACCGGGCCTAAGATTCAAGTCAAATGACTTGGCGGTTGAATAAACGCTGTGAGTGTAGTACATATTGTGCTTTCGAGTGAAATTTCATTGTGTTGTGGTTTCTCGTTGGAATTTAAATCGATTTGATTGGCTACCTCAGATGAGCTCAAAATTATGAACCAATCAAAACCTTCTCTATGAAATTCAACAACCAATCAGATCGATTATGGAGGCGCGATTCGATTGCACCCCCTCCCCAAATTTGTATATCAAATCGATAATATTCACGTTTGCATCCAAGCTCAAACATCAAGATGACAGACAGACACACTACAAGGACCGACAGTTTTGGGATCGTACGGATATCAATTCTGAGAGGCTCTCAACGTACATGGGGTGACCATACTAGTATGTCTCACATCTACTTTTACTTTGACATGACCAGTGAGCCCTTCTAAATACTGGTTCTTATTCATAATACTACGTAGTATTTGTAGCGTGCTCTATGGATGGCCAGGGATATGTGATAAACGGGCCGTCCTCGATCTTCCCCAGAATAGCAATAAAACGCCACAGAATATGTAAATACACAGGTTATGCAGGATGACAGTCCATATACATATCCCAAGGTGAATTATCCGGTATTTCCGGATACTGGGAGAATCAACGACTTGAGCCCTTCCACCACTCGTTCGCTTGTCGCTTACTTTCACTTTTGAACGCTTTTTGAACAACCATGTTGGTCTGGATGGATATTTTCACCGATGACGAAGTCGTCTCGGACTCGCACAAGGTGTACGAAGCCAAGGACAAGGAGGGAAACCTCATCCCTGGTATGCTTGAAGTGGCCAGTAAGACCGTGTCCAAGGGCGGCGTGAACGTCGATGTCGGCTGCGGTGACGCGTTCGGCGGCGGAGACAACGAAGTCGACGACAGCGTGGAAACCGTCAACAACATCATCGACGAATCCGTCGGGTTCGGGTACACCGAGACCGGTTTCAACTCGAAGGCCGACCTGAAGACGTACTTGAAGTCGTACTTCCGCAAGATCATCAAGCACTTGAAGGCGACCAACGCCAGCGACGAAACGTTGGACTCGTTCAAGAGCGACGCGCAAGAAATCGTCAAGGCCCTCGTGGGCTTGTACGACGACCTCCAATACTACATGTTCCGCTCCATGGACTCGGAAGCCGGCATGGCGTTCTCGTACTACAAGGAAGGCGAAGCCACCCCCGTGTTTTTGTACATCAAGTGGGGCTTGAAGGAAGTCAAGTTTTAAATATTTTGAGCTTGATAATATGACCGATTCCGTTGCATTATCTATTCCAAATCAATCGTGTTTTGATCCAAATAAGCCCTCCATCCAGCCACCATCTACGAAGACGACCACTAGCTAACTCACAACTATCCTGGATAACCATTCATTCTGCTTGTAGAAGCAAGCTCCTTGTAATTCCATGCAGAGCTGACCAATATTTTAGTTTTACTTATTTATGAGGTTCTCATCGGCGGGTTATTTACTTTTTTGGAAGTCATGCACGTTGTATCTATCTGTCTGCAAAGAATAACCCTCAGACGAATAACTTACTCGAATAATTCAAACACAATGGACAAGCTGTATTGTGCTTTTCACATATTTTGCCCGTTGTTTTAGCTCCTAAAACCATCCAAAGTTTAACTGAAGTTGCACTCGACGTAAAAGTAAGCTTCCCCACCGTTCTGTCATTGGCTGATCTAAAACTTGCGTTGTTTTACTAAAACTACTTCGTTTTATTAACTCCCGTGGC